TCCCTTTCCAGTTCAGTGCCACCCCCCCGAAGATTTCAAAAGGGAGCAGCTCGCTTTCCTTTTCAAATGATTGATGATGTTACAAAGAGCCAGGGCAGATCCTTAGAGTACATACTGGCACCTTTCCCAACGTGCTTCTATTTCACTCTGATCCAAGCATGACTCAGTCACACTCAACCCCTTCGTGTTTCCCCACTTATTCTAGCCAGAAAAAACAAAAGCAGATTAGCCTGGCAAAATCTGTTCTTCACAAACCCCCCAAAAGGTCTGGTCTTCCAACATCTTCCAGACCCTAAGTGCTCTTTTCCTTGGTATCTGATCTGGTTGTAGAGAGGCTGATTTGTGCATTAGGAGTGCTCTTTGGAAGATACTCTGGGGGTGAGCAGAGAAGAGCACAAGGGGAGCGAGAGCACAAAACAGCCTCCCCATGTCTGTCACGTTCTCAGGTTGACCTATTACAAGGCCTGCAGTTTCATGATTTTACAGCATTGTTCTCAACACGTGGGTCGCAACCCAAAAGTGGGTCACAAGAATATATGAAAGGGTCGCAAACAAACTAAAAACTGTATTCTCTTTTAAAGGAGAAAAAGGTGGGAAATGACAGGTTTCCCCTTGCAGGCTGGCAGAATTCCAGGCTGCTGGGGGCTGCGGGGAGCAAGAGGAAGGTGATCGGGTAGCGGGTGCCATGTGCATGCACACACATGCACATGGCAGCCAGGAGAGCAGCTCCCCACAGGAAAGTCTACGAGGCTTGGGGAGAGGAGCAGGGAGCATAGACAACATGTCAGGGGGATGGGGGAGCACAAGTGACACTGCCTGCCACCCAGCCTCCTCGACCACATCTCTTACTCCTCATGCATGGCTGGTGCGGAGGTTGCAGTGGCAGCGGAAGCAATGAGTCTCACCGCTCCACTCTGCCCTCCTGCGCCGAGTCCCACCCGCCAGGCTGCAGAGGCAGCTCCTGCCTGTGCTGGTCCAGCCAGGCTGCAGCCCCATGCCTGCTGTGGGTGCACAAATCTGGGGGGGCATGTGCCCTTCCCCCCACCCCCCATACCCTTCCCCATACTAGCAGGCTGGGGGCAGGGGGCAGAGGGGCAGGAGTAAGAGGCACTAGCAGGGCTGGAGGGCTGTGGGATAGGAGTGAGGGGCAGGGACTTGTTTTCTACTTAAACTATTTACTGGGTCAGGACTGGCCATCGATGTTTACGAATGGGTCCTGGTACAAAAAAGGTTGAGGACCAGTGCCAGAGAGGTACTGACTGCACCTTCCTCTCTGCTTGGATAGGGCTCGGCATGCTGTGGGCGCTACTATACGACAGTCCCTCTGACTGCGCCCCTGAAGCTGGAGTACGTGAGGAAAGGAGGTGTCCAAACTTATGGCAGCAGGCTGCCAGCCATCAGTCACGCGATTCATCTGCCTGGCAACCCCTTCCCGTTTTGTTTGGGCCTGCATTTTCTACATATTCCAGCTGTTGCAGCTTTTCTCCCTGGGACCCTTAGAGTTTCCTATGGGAATATTTCTGGTGTCATGTAGGGACTGGTGAGAATGCAGATGTCTTTTTTATGGACAAATGCCTTTTTTACAGCTACACGCTGCTTTAAAGCAGTACACTATCTGGTTTCAATACTCACCTTCTGAAAATAACCTCTCTTCATTGAGCTGTCCTTGACTTGCCTGAAGTACACGTAGCCAAAGTAATGAGCTGTCTCTCGCTGCAAAGAGAGAGGCCAACAATACCATGATCAAGGATCCAATCACCGCCCTTGCCAGGTTCTCAGCCTCCCCCCACCAGCCACAGATCTGCCAATGCACCTCAACCCTTGGATGGCAGGACCTGCTGCTATGCCTGATCTGGTCTGTGTTTTGTGGAAGCCATTAGTGTCAAACTGAATGCCACGTTACCTTAAATGGGTGGCTAGGGAAGGGACCAGACTCACTGAACTCACCTCAACTGAAACAGCATCCAATCTGCACTCCATCACAGCACCAGCCCCTGGCACTGCTCCATCAGTAATACCCTCGTCTAAAGGGTTAGTTGCTGTTTCCATTCAATTAAAGCAGCTGCGGCAATCTAGTGATCAAATCCTGGTGCTTTGTGCTACAAACCCTGATCATATCATCAGTTGCATCTGCCGTGCAGACACAGGTTTGGAGTGCTGTGGCAGCGAGAGGAGGACTCTGCCACTCAAACAGCAGCACTCCCTCCAGACAAGCTCTTAGGTTGGAAACAGACACTGCATTTGTCCTGGGATCTTATGGATGTAGAAGGCCACCATACCAACTCAAGTCTCTGTGAAGTATGCAGGATAAAGTGTGATGTTTCCCTAGACAGCTGCCTACGTCTGTACGGTCACTACCGGGACAAGGCGGTCAGGCTGCGTGCTCTCACAGGTCGCCTACTGATGGAGCCACAATACAGCGTGAATGGGTGATATGTAAACATGTCACGTGGAAGGTAGGGCTCGGACTCAGTGACCTAGACAAATTGGAGGGTTGGGCCAAAAGAAATCTCATGAGGTTCAACAAGGACAAGTGCAAAGTCCTGCGCTTGGGACAGAACAATCCCATGCGCTGGTGCAGGCTGGGGCCTGACCTCCTGGGCAGCAGCTCTGCAGAAAAGGACCTGGGGGTTACAGTGGACCAACTGCTTATTTTGTTTTTGCAGTGAGCAACTGCCAGCA